GGGGGGGGGGAGCCGCAAAATCTCGAACTTAAAACTTACACTCACTATTTTCTTCGAAAATATACGTGAGTTCCACAAAAGAATTATAGCTAGGTAAATAAATTCAAACTTTACTGGTCACAAACCTTATATAGACGATGATGTTTACTAGAGTGTAATAATTTACGAAATGAATATAGTAGATAGAAAAGAAAAGTGTTTTATTTAAATGAAGGAATGTTCTAGACTAGTATAGAAGGACACACCACATGGAAACAAACGTTATACCCTGGACGAGGTTATAAGACATAACAGATAAGAGGAACGGTCACTGTCTAGACATCAACTAATCCCTTTTCGAATAGTTCATTCCCTAGATTTGAACGGTTTTTTTGTCAAATTTTAACGTCTTAACGTTTTTAAAATATATCGAAATAAATTTCAAATATGTTTCTGTTGTTTATTAATTCTTTTAAACATTTAAAAAAAATGTACAAATTCATATTTTCTTTTTCTTCTAAATGATATATGTCTTCGCTAATTTCTTTCGAAAATATATCTGATATTAATTTCATAAGTTTTTCGTAAAAAATACGAGACTACCAAACAAATTTGTAATATTCTCAATAGCTAATCTCAAAATTCCATTGAGATGTATTTTTTCGATTTTCTTTTCTCTCGAACTTGCCTCAGCCAATAGTTTGTAATATTCCAGTTAGATTTCCTATCACTAATGCCTGAGATGAAAACTCAAAGAATGATCATTATATAATTAAGAAAAAAAATACTACGAGAGAAGTGAATCATTAGATATATTCTTTTGTTTATAATAATGTGAAAACATTATAGTTTCAATATCAATTTATTCAAAAAGAAATAGTTTATAACAAAAAAAAGACATTGAAAAGAGCAATATGTTCCTATACTTGATATTCATCATTTACATCGATGTCATTTTCGCCGATATTGTAATCGTCAAGCAAATAATCTACATATAAATCTTCATCGTTATCATAAGTCATTGCATGATGATGTTCCATTTGATTACTAACATCAAACAGTGAATCGTTTACACTTAAATTATTAAACATACTGTGTAGAAATTCAAACAAATTTTCTTCAATATTTAAATAATCAAAATGATCTTCAAAAAATTGAATAAATTCATCTTCAGAAATGTCATGATTCTGCAAAAGTAGCATTAAAATTTCTTCAATTGAACTTTTTTGAAAAAACTGTTCTTGTAATATATCTCTGAAATTTTTATTGTATTCCATTGTATGCAATACACGAATTTTTTTTTAATCAAATGTAATCTATACACTGAATATTATTTTATAGAGAGTTATTTAAACAACACGTTAGAAACAAATTCAAACTTTTCCATGTGTTTTATTTTATTTGTTTTTGTCTATATAGTATTCTTAATAGTAAAGTCTAAATACGTCGAGGTTAACTTTTTTCCTTTCGTTCCAGACGAAGTGACCGCTAACTAACCTATGATTACTAATTCAGGGTGAATTTATATGTTTTTTTTTCTTTCCGTTTCTAATAGTTTTCCGTCTACTATATATTTAAACTGCAATATTGTTTTCAATGAACTAAATATTGTTTTTTAATATAAATTTTATTCATATATATATATTTATATCAAAAGAAAAAAAAACAATAATCAAAGAAAACAAAAAAAAAACATAATGAAAACGTTTTCGTTTGTGTGAAGATCGACACAATTGTATATATAGGTTCATTTCACGAAACAGGTCATATATCACAAAAATGTAGACCTAGATGTTACCGCGGAGCTCATTATTTGCGGAATTGTGTTGTGAAGTTTGTGACCATGGTAAATCAACAATGAGAAGACTCATCATTTCATCCTCTTCATTTAAATAATGAATTAAATCATCATTTATTCCATCTTCTTTCTTTTCAACAGTTTCATTTCTTCCTTTACTGTTTTGTTTTGGTGAAGCTTGTTCTTGTTCTTGACGAAATTCTTGTACTTGTTGAACCATATCTCTGTTCGTGCTTCCATTACCATCGCATGCTTGTTGTTCAAACTAAAAGTTAAATTTTTCAAATCGGAAATAGATTGTTTCTTATTGTTATATTTTACTGGTAAAAATCATTACCGTACAACGTGGAGTTCGTACGTAACATTCCATACAATCAATCAAGTTCACAGTCACTTGTGTTGTACGAATTTGTTGACTTAAATAGCGTTCATTCGTTTCACTATTCATAGACGATGAACTACTTGATTGAGTTGATTGCACAGGTCTCTGTTATGAGAAAAAGAAAGAGAAAAAATATCACATATGTTAAATAAAAAAAAATCGATTGGAGATTTGTGTCAATGGTTGTTGTTCTTGAATATTGTAGTTAAGTGTTTGAAAGTTGATTTCTAAATAAGATCACAAAACAAAAATGAATTCTATATGTATCAATATATATCTTCAATACCTTGGGAACGTTGTCGTTCTGGATGTTTCTCTTGTACATCACTAGACATGGTTTGAATTCAGAGTAAATGTGGAAAGAATATATGTCTAGAAAAGAGGAACGAAAGTAGCGTATGTGTTGAAATTGGGCGATAAATAGTACAATTATTAGTAAATCTAAAAAAAATGAAAAAAGGTTAGAAATCAATACACTAAAGTTAGTCATAGAGAAAATCTCAAAGCATAAAGACTCTATGTATTCTAATCCCATTAAACAATATTTTATTCAATATATTCTATAGTTGGATATTTCAAAAGAAAAAAAACTGTGTCCATAATTACATTACACTTCTTTGAGTAGCGAAATGTTTCGTTCAACAGAATCAAACCAAAGTTAATATTCAAAGCTCATCTTCTCGAATGATTCTATCTTTGAATTACACTAAATCTACAACAAAAGAAACATAATGAGATGTTTTTTTTTTCAAAAATATAGGAAAAAAACAAAGACAAGAAAAACCTGGCATGTATATAATTTCTATATGCATAAAGAATGAATTCAAATACAAAAAAAAGGGTGGGTGTGGGTGTGGGTGG